AAAAAAAAAAAAAAAAAAAAAAAAATTATTTGACTAAAGTAAAAGAAAATTGAAATAAAATCCTTGGGCATTTTCTCAAAAAAGTAATTTTGAATCTTAAAATAAATTACATTGAGTCACTGACTACACCCAGCAGCATAACGGTTAAGAGGGAGTTTTTGCGTCATGACAAAAAACAAGATTGGCCTCTAGACTTGGATGATGTACATCAGTCATGCATGATCTCATATTTTTGCCCCCTCTGTAAGCGTGTCTCAAACCCCTGGATAAAAACCGCTTGTGACTCATCCTACACAGTATTATCTGATCAACCTTAATTATATCTAAACTCCACTGGCCATTTGTCTTCTCTGCAATTAACAGTCTAATGATATGCCAGGCAAGCACTTGAGACACTTGCCATTACCAATCAGGGGTTAATTGTTCTGTACATGCAGTATATCCTCAGCTGTCACTGGTCTGGGGACCATCATATCATATCATAGTAACAATTTAGCCAAATGATAAAAAGCCAGGAAATAATTCAAAATTGAATCCTGACCCAGTCAAGGATATCTATTTAAGGCATGGAAAATTTGGTATAGTTATTGACTGAATGACGGAAATTCTGAGTGTATTTCCATGCAATATTTGTAGCAGCAACCAAGACAATAATTCCCATATAATATTATTAAACAATAATTTAAAATTGACTTCTACAAGAAAACTTTGACATTAAGATGGTGACCATAAAGTTATCCTTCTTGCATGTCACTTCACAGCTAGGTCATAAAGGTTAACTTATGAAGAACTTTGAATAAGTTTACAGCCAGGACAGTCCATTCACAAAGATTACCTACTTCATTGCTAAGATATGTTTCCGGCTATAAACTGATATACTTCAAAGGTCAAATGTATTCTACTACAAAGTAAGAGGGCACTTGAAGGCAACTGACCAAAACAGAGTTGGTCTATGACTCATCTCAGTATCAGGGTTGTGGACTTTCTTTTGTGTCAATGGTAATTCCGGATGACAGCCATTTATGCTATTCTACTCTAATTCACCTGCAGATTTGAATTGCTCATTTTTTAAATTAATAATTACACTTATCAAAGATCCCCAGGGCAACTTACCCTCCACATCTTCCTTTAGTTTTTCAATCTCCTTCTTCATCTCTGCTTCTTTAGTGGAATATTCTTTTTCATCTGCCAGTTTCCAAGTTTCACGTATAATGCGATCTCGCTGTTCTAATGCTTCATGGCGTTCTTTCCGTGCCACATTTCGTTCGTGTGTTAACATTTCAACGTCTCTGCGTACCTCATCTCTCTCTTTCTGTACTTCAATCTTTGCAGTGACAATATCACCGTATTTGACACGGACATCGTTGCACTCTTTAATAGCTTTGTCACGATCATGTAATGCCGATGTAATCTCATGGCGCAATGTTTCTATTTCATCTCTCAATGTTTTCTTGTCTTTTTCATAAACTTCTCCTTTCTTATTTGCCTCATTAAGTTTATCTTGCAGTTGTTCCATTTCTTTGTGTACCTGCCCTCTTTCAGACATCACTAATCTGTACTCCTCTATGGCTGCATTCCGCTCTTCCGTTAGGCGAGCTATTTCTTTGGTTACTCGCACAACAGATTGGTTTGCCTGTTGTTGGGTCTTGCTTAACTGTTCTCGCAAGTCTTCCACTGTACGCAGCGATTTGTCCCACTGCCTCACAACATCAGTGCATTGTTTTTGAAGTGCTACTCGCTCTTTGATTGCGCGATCTCGCTCATTACATACATCCGTGTATTGTTTCTTAAGTCGCGTATTCTCCTCTTGCACAGATTCTAATTTGTGAATGGCAATATCACGCGTGGACATTAAGTCTGCGTATCGTTTACTAAGGGACTCGTTGTCCTTTCTGATTGCTTCATATTTTTCAATTGCAGTGTCATACATGCGTGTGAGAATTTCATTACTACCACTTTCTGAAATGACTTCACGCTGTTGTTTTCTGAGTTCTTCAATTTCGTGTTTATTTTCTTCTCGTGATTCTTGAAGATCAATCACCTCTTGCTGTAGCCGTTGTTTTTCTCCTTGTAATTCACTAATTTCTTGTTTCTGAGCATGCAGCTCAATACGCGTGCCTTCAAGCTTGTCCACAGAGATACGATGCTCATTACGATAGTAATCACTCTCCCTGACGGCCTTGTCACACTTATTCATCGTAATGCTCAACTGAGTCTTCATCGTTTGAAGTTCGTTCATTGCAGCATCGCACTGGGTCTTTAACCAATCATAATCTCGCACCAAATGTTTGTCAGTCACATTCTTTGTGTCGCCACTGCCCATAGAAGCCATTTTGGAATAGGAGTCTAACTGGGACTGTGTCTTCTGCAGTTCCTCTTTCAGGTGGTCCCTATCTTGCACCACTAATTTCAACTCCTGTTTCAGGAGATGAAGGTTGGATTGGTTGAAGTCATAATCATGGGATGGCGGTCCATTACGCCTGTATGTAGATGACGGATAGGGAGCATCCTGACTACTACTGTCATCCTCTGCAAAGAGAAGGTGGAAATGAATTAAAGATGGTGAATACAATTCTGATTACCAGCTTACGAGTGGCGGATCAATGCATTTCCCACAGGGACATTCACTGCCTCCTGCTGCCAGCAAATGCCAGCTCAATTATGGAAGACACACAAGTTTATGTTCAATAATCCTGATATTTTCCACTCTACTCTATTGGAGCAAGTGTAATCATCTGTGAATCCCCACTTTTTGCTATAAAATCAAGAATATATGACCATTACATCTGACCATTTTTAAATTATCCATTATTGAAGAAACTGTTAGTAAGGTCTTCTATTGATTCTTCTTAAAACAAAATAAATTATCATGCATTTAGACTAGCCAATATAAAATACATTTTTGCTACAATTTTACTGTAAGTATCCTGGTCAAATGATGTTGCTATGCAGATAAAATATGCCCTACAGAAGTTCATCACTGCCAGCAAACAGAAGAAAAAATCAATGTGTGTTTTTGTGTTTGACATTCACCTACTGTTGTATCAGAAGTACTAAGACAGACGCAGGTGCCTGGCAGTCTGCTACAGTCTACCAACAGCTGACACCAGACTATCACACCAATAAGCTGTTCCAAGAACTCGTTTTCTTCAAGAGTAAATTCATTATTATATTTGCAATAAACATGGACTTGTTTTATAGACTGTAGTCTTATGTCAATTGATGCTGTCATGTAGCAATAAGAGATTCAACATCCAGGAAATACAAACTGTGTTAAATACATGTTGACAGCAGATTATTTGCCCAGAAATCTGTTGTGCTAAAACAACATACTGAGGATATGTAAATAACAAATAACCATTTGCCTGCCATGTGTAAACCCTACCTTGAAGATTCCACAGGACTATTGTAGAAACCAAACTACTTCACCAAAACCTCCAACACTAATACCTGGACAAGTTTGATGCATGTATTATCTTTGACCTTTCACCAAAAAACATGTTCACATCAGGTTTAACTTTCACCTCCACAAACTACTAACAGAAGTCATGTGACTGCATAACAGTCTCACATTCTGCCACAGTTTAAGGTATAATATGGGCCCTCTGTAATATGGTCTTCTGATGATGTCATGTAGACAGTTTAAGTCTGCCTTGTTGTAAAGACACCCAATAAACTAATGAACAGGATCACAGGATGAAACCCAGCACTCTAATGGGGTCTTGTAGATTTTGACATTGAAATGCAAGCAGCTATTGAAACTAGTGGTCATCAAGAGAGAATGATGCAGGGTCACACTTGGAGTTCTGTTCAGTTTAAAACAGTTACGTCACCCAGGAAATGTAGGCTAATTGAATTGTGATCAATGAGGGCAGAAATGAGATGATTACAGATGCAGACTGCACACACCCTCCACTCTAAAATTGATATATCTGCCCTTACCCCCCCCCCCCCCCCGTTATTCTGACTTAACTCCTATCCTTCCCAATACCCAACTTCCACACCTCAGATTGAATTCAATCTCTCCACAAAAAAACGTATCCATAAAAAAGAGTCTCACTATTATCACCAATCGAAACAAAGCCTGTTACACTGGTAAAAACTCTCCCCTTTCCTGTGGGTTAACGCATTGGGTAATGCACTCAACTCTACATACACAGATCATCTTCTTAAGTCCATGTCATTCACTTAGTATCAAGTATTGTACAATATAGAAGACACCTTTACTTGTGAGTTCAGCAATACTTCAGTATCAATATAACCACATGTATACACCTGAGCCCCAGGTTAAAGTCCACTTGAAATCCATGAAGGCAGCCTAGTAATGACTGGGATACACTTACCTGGGCTGGGGTTACTTAGCATTTCTGCCAATGGCTAAACCTTAATCATCCTCATTGAAACATTAATTAGATGATTGTAGTCAATTTAGTGAACAACAGAACTAAATAAATGGCTATTTGGCTGAAGCTAAGATCTAATAAACAGTATATTAGATCTTAGGCTGAAGTAAACATGAAGAGGGTATGACCATCCTCTCTCCCCCCCCCCCTCACCCCTCCGCCCATCCTCACAGACAATATCTACCTGACTTGACCAGTTCCATGTTAACTCTGCTGCCAGGTTTCATGGTCCATGATAAAAGCACTTGTTATTGACTCCTCCAGGTTTATAACTATATAAGCCAGCTGTATTGAGCTGAATCTGTTGACAGAAACCAAGAGTCTGTTTGCTGTCACTGCTGATGCCAGGTGATTCCTGATGCCAGGCGGCCCAGCTTCAAAGGTGAGAACTCCATATACACACACCCAACAGATGAGAGTGGGTGGAGATCTATTTAACAGTTAGATCCACACACAACAGTGCATGTAATATTAAGTGTTAAAATGAAAATGTTGTATAAAAACCCTGTCGAGGTTTATCTAATCAATACTAACAAAGGACAAATAATACACATAACCCAACCTGTCTCGCCAAGGGTTTCTACAGGAAATGCAACAATCACTAGACTTACACACAGACCATGTCGTCTGTTTTTACTGCATTGTTCCCTTATTTTACCTGTCATTTTCCCCGGCTGGCTGCTTCATAATGGCTCCCACCAATCAATGGGGCATTACCCATAGCCTGCAGTGCCCTTTTGGGTTTAAAAAGAATATTCATAACCCACTCCTCTTGGTACCCTGACCTCAGAAGGGGTCTCTCTCACTCATTATATCCAGTCTGGGGGGAGGAGATCCCAGTTATAAGAATTGATAAATGTACCTATACTGATATTGTGGCCAAGCTGCACCAAGGTTATTATCAACTCTTTTGGAAACTAGGTTATTGGCAGGGAAACCCCAATAAGTACAAAGAATGATTTATAAAGACTATAATAATACATTATTTATGTTCTTAAAGCCACAATGTGAACTGAAATTTCATTAATAACCCACCTATGATGTGAACTAAATGCTACATACACATATCATTTGAACAAGAGCTGTTAACTTTGATGCATTTTTGACTTGGATACTACCTTTAGAAATCTTAATACTTGTGACTTTTATTTTTTCTTTTATGGTCTTTTCTTGGCTTATCAGATTTCACGAACCAGGTGATTTTTTGGTCATCATACCATCATCATACATCATATACAACATACATACCACGGGGCTGATATCAAAACAAAAGGATTGCAGGGACCGATACAATGAATGAGACGGAGTGACTGCCACGTGCGGAAGATGGGCAGGAAATCTGCCAACTACTCAGAAAACCACTAACGCAAACGAAGATGATTGGACGGTGACCGCAATTAGGCAGTAAACGCGGGGAAAGTCTATTCTTTGATATCACCCCATGCGCGGTGATATCAGCGTGTTCTATTCAAAGTTAGGGGTTTTGGGTGGGGAATACGCAAGATTTCCCTTTGTATGTATGACAAATAATGCACTCTTACCCCCTCGCCCGATATCCACGATAGCATGCCTCGCTGGCGCTCGGCCTGCTATCGTGATATCGGGCTCGTGGACAGTGCATTATTTACTACTTATTACATGATAAGGGGAAAGAAAATGGCAACTGCAAAGAAATGTTTTTTTCTCAAGGTTTTATAGCTGTTTTTTAAAATAATTTCTCCTTCAAAGTGTCATTTACCACCTTCTCCCTACTGGAATCAGTGTCACATCTTAAGATTTATGATCACTGTGATATTAATGTAGTCTCCGAGACAGCCTTGCAACATATTTTTATTTAACTATTAATCATTATTAACAAGCACACATTTCAACTAGGACAGCATTAATCATGTATGTAACACTATTTAACCAGTCTTCATTTCAATATTTCATAGCGTTTTTTCATCTTCTATTTTCTCATAAAAGTGGGACAAATTAATTTTTTTTTCATCAAAGTGAAGCAGATTTTTCATTTCAATATTTATCTGGTAACTGGTATAAGCTAATATTTTGTCTGTATGTTGTGTAATGTTGCCAAGAGCCTGGGTGGCATGGCAGCTACCACTATCAAGTGACTGACATGGCACTGCCTGTCAAATGATATGACTATATCAGTAGACAGCTAAAATGATCCTAGCTCCCATTACTACTATATAATAGGCTTGTCTAGACAAGAACTACAAAAGCCTGAAACCTGACTAACTTCAATCACATCAAATGACCGAATGCATTTACTTTCATTTATATTCCTTTACAAAAGGTTACTTGATTTAGTTGTCCAGTGACCCAAGTTTGGACAAATCACAGTCTTGAGTAGTCCTTGTCCAGATGTGCTTTTGATGAAGAGAAGAGAAGAGAGCAGGGAGGCTTTTTTATGTGAAGACAGACTGAGGACTCCAGATTAATGCATTCTAGACGTAGGCACATATCACTTTTACCTGCTGATTGCATAAATATGTAAATAACTGCAGTGTCTGCTAGAGCAAATGAGCAATGGACTAGTTAAACAAAAATATACACCAGACTGATCTTACCAAGGCAATGAATGATTGAGATGGTGAAAGCAATCTGGACTGGTTAAGTTACTGTTAAGTTGTGTATCATATATTTGCATGTACCACCTGTTTCAATATATACAATTATATAATTAATAATATCTCCCCTGTACCTACGTAACTGTATCATAAAACATGAACCTCAGATGTATATATATAGTAAATGTCGTACAGAGTGTGTGCATGCATGTATATGTCTGTGCACCACGTAATAAATAACACCATACACAGTTCATATCTTACCTGTATCAGGGGTATTACGGAGGACATCATCTGATGAGGATGAAGCTAGGGAAGCTGACGGTGAGCGAGAATCTAGAAAATACAAAAGGTATAATCTCTCATCAACACAGCTACCAATTTTTACCAAACAGCAGTGATAAACTAGTAAAGAGGGGGGACATGTGTCCTTACCTGGCCGACCTTCCATTATGTTATTGTCACATTTTTGTGAACTTTCCGTCTTGTCTCCAGCAGCTGGTGACATTATGTCACTAACCCCTACATTCTGCAAGCCAGTATCCATATAAACCACTGGCATAAGCCACAATATTACACAAATACCAAGTCAGAGACTGGAAAATGTTTAAGTACTGGTCACAAGAAAAAAACTACAGAAAAATCAACAACATTCTGTTTTTGTGTAGCATTCCCAAAGTTGTCCGTAGAGCAATACCACCTTAGACGAAAGTAGCAACGTGACTTCTACATGTGTAAAACCTAGCCTTTTAACAACAACCCCGTGTGTGCGTTTATGTGAGTGTGAACCACGTTCAAGGTAGCACACAGCCAATCAATCTGTGATTTGTTTCTAACCCCGTGTGTCTCCAGTCCACAGAGGTGCCCCGGGCTGGATTAAGAGACAGGATTAAGGACTCTAGTGACGGGAGATAACTTATCACCTTTGCTTGAAAGTAAACACAGACGATTTCCTGTACCAGGAGAAAAAGCATGCCCCCTTCAGAGCTGTCCTCACTGACTGGGGTGTAATGTTACTAGGTCTTATATAAACTGTACAACCAGGTGATGAATAAAAAATAGTCTTGACACCTTTTTAAAGACAACTTTAGCATGAAGTATATAACTTCTGGATTGTGTCAAGGCAACTTCTTTTTCTGGTGTCAGGGTTATGCGACATCAGCTTTTAGGATTGTATAAATGCCTTGTTTTTTAATTTAACTTAATACTGAATAAAAATTAAAAAAAAAAATTTAACAATGATCAGTAGCAAGACACTGGTAAACAAATTTATCACCAAGAAGAATACCTACACACACACATACATGCATACACGATAAATGTCACAACAAAGAAGAGTGAATTTAAGCTTTAAGCCCAAATCATTCAAATAACCCCACAATTTATATCCAAGACCCTACTCATACTTCCGCCTGTAGCTGACAGCATGAAAACAAATAGTTAACCATGGCAGCGGCTTGCTAAGCACAGTGGCACATATTGGTACCCTGCTACCTCAAGCCACATGTGCTGTCACATACTGTCAAACACAAGCTGCTGTCATAACATTTGTCACATAGACAACTTCATGGAGATGTCAACTTCAGTTGACAGAAAAAGGCCAAAAAGTTATCTGGAGAAAAATATACTAAAAATTCTTCGACAGGGCGGTAGCCTGATAGCCCAGGGCTGGTAGACTGCTAGGTCGGGCTACCAGTTTTTGCCTATATATATTTTTGTATTTATTTAGTTAAAATGTTAAGGCCCATTTCTTGTCATTTATAAAAGCTTAACTTAAGTAGTATGTTGTTTTTACTTTTTTAACCAATGGAAACTATCGTCATCGGCCAACTTCATTGTACGCCAATACGAATCAAACTTCTGCACTGCATGGGTTATGCAAAATTTGAGAATGTAGGAAACTCCACATGGAGTGGAGTTAACTTTTTAGCCATAAGGGTGAACTGCGGAGGACGATTCCCATGACTGAAATCGGGATAACAATTATATTGGTTGACATATTGGACATAGTAATCACAAAGTCTTCAAAGAAAGTATGGGCAAATTTAAGGGTTAAGAGAAGCTGTATAACCTGTATACCATGACCCTATTGACCAACTTTGTAGTATTATAAATTGATTATTTAAAAGCCATTTGAACACATTTGTTTTAAAATAAAAGTGAGCAAGTGCCATTAACTGTGTACCCATGAGGAAGGAAAGCACCATGCAAACAGATACACAGACTGAACCATTCAATCCCTTTCTATCCAGGCACCAGTTCTGTTGTTGTTGCCCCTGGCTTTAAACTGCAAGTTTCCCACAGCCCTTGTAAGCTATTGACTAGGTCCATAGATTTCTAAACCAGGTATAGGCAGGAAATAAAACAAGCTTTATAATATCACAGGTAATAGTATTGAATGGGCGTGTGGGTGTGCCATACACAGGCTTGGACAACGGGACTGACCATTGTCCACAGGTAAAGTCAAGAGGCCATTTATTTAACAGTTTCTGTATATTCTGGCAGAAGAATGAGATAGTAAACTTCTCTTGCCAGCTGTATACTCTAGAGACCACAGCAGATTGGTAATTTTGGCTTTTCACAACCCAGTTTCGAATAATTCTCAGGATCCATTTACCTTTTTTTTTATTTACACAAGTACCCATTTCCTATAACAAAAATTATAATGAATTTGTGAAAATTGTTTTTTCATATCATTTAGTCAATAAACACAAATGGCATTCATTTATTCTACAGTCACTTCTTCTAATCCAAACATTAATCACATTCAGCATTTAAAAATAAATTTGAGACCTGGAGAATTGAGTTGTGGTCCCATTACTTTTTCATCCAAGCCACAAACAACAGGGTGCCTCAGTAACACCTGACCTTTGCACACCCCAGTCCTTGTTCAAAGCTGTTTGTTTGCTGGCACCTCTATCTTAAAATACACCAGTCTGGTCTGCACCCAGCGCTAGACTAATTATCCAGCCAACAACCTCAGAGATTATGATCCCTGCTCTAATAAACACCTGTGACCACAAGCCTACACCTGCAGTCAGAATACATGCTCTTGATTTATGACTTTTTTCCTATAAAGGAAATCTTGTTGACTTTCGTGGGTGTTTTTTTTTTCATCCAGTGCCATTTCAGTCCGACTTTTCTTAGTTTGAATGTAAAATACAAGGGGCAATGTTATCAAATTATTTGAGTTATGTTCAAACAAATGAAATGCTCATTGCATTATTTCCTTATATATTTGACTTTTATCTGAATAAATGATCCCTAAATGAAAACTTAGACCCCCCACCCAAAAAAGTGTTGTCTATAAATGCTTTTAAATGGTCACATTTTATTACCATTTTACTTTGATGTTGATAAGCTCATCCCAACTTTCTAAGTGATGAGGATAATTAAGTAAATCTAAAGAGAGCAGCATTTAATCATTATCACCTGTTAAATAAATTAAAATTCAATTGGCCTAAACAAAGAAAAGGACAACACAGAAAAAACGACTTTGTCACACCTGATGTTGCACACCTGGCAGCAGTATTAACTAGCACTTGTGGTGAAGACACCTTTGATCTAAACACAGAATCCCAATTTATAAACCTACCTGGAAACAAGGGTATAACTTGTGCAAAAATCACGGCAGACAACATGATGCTGACTTGTTGGGAAAGACAACTATTCTAAGAGCAGTCTTGGACCACTTCTGATCTTTTTCCAGGCCTGAGAGGAATATCGCATGAATATTCCCATATATTGTGATGAGAGCTGGTGCAGTGCAGCTGGTATATTACAACTTGTGGTCATCAGGCTCTTTTATCTTACATCCCATTGAATTAATGTTACCTCTTAATGCTAGTTCAGTGGTTAGAAACAAAGCCTGTTCTCTTGTAAGGTGACCTGATAAGGCAGTACGGCACACAATGGAGGGTCTGTTTCCCCCCCAGCCTGGCCCCATTCACCCCTCTGTTGTCTCTGCTAGAGTGAAAACATACCCAGACTGGATGCACTGTCTGGCCCCCTGGTACACATTATCAATACTAATAGGGACATCTAATCAAATCCAGTGGGAGAAGTTTATGCACTGGTCAATCAGAACTGTTGGACTTGAGTTCACAAGATCACTCCCCTTTTTTCTGTTTAATTGGTGAATTTTGAAGCCTAAAGGTACATGGTGTGAAAGTCATTTTATTGCAGACCATCAATGTCATGCATTGGATTCATCCACTACAGCAATAAATACAATTTTCCCATGGAAGAAATGGCTCTACTTTTAATCATTAAGATCAGTTATTGCTGATAAAAACCTATTTTTTACACGTTAAGTTCTTTATTTTCAGCATCTTGGAGCCACATGGTGACATGAGTAAAGGTAATCATGCTTCAAATTCCTGTCTTCAAGAATGGTTTTCTTTCATATTCAATTTCATCTTTTTTTCAGGACATATAAGCACCGTGTTTTTTTCATTTCTTCTTTGGAAACAGACCTTTATAACCGTATTACATGACTGATCTCATTTACATTAATTCCTCTTAGCTTTAAAAGCAATATTCGTCAGTCTACAAAAAGTGCCGTACTAATGTAAGGCATTCACCTTTACTGTCAACAATATCCAGAGCACTTTTACTGACATCAAAGTGACAAGGGAGGGTGAAAGGGGAAAAGTCCAGCTCCATAAAAAATAAATAATAATAATAATGAAGTAATAAAACAATAAAATAATAATAAATGTAATATCACTTTGATGAATGCCATTCCCATGAAATGAAGAGACCCAAATAATGGCAATATCATTACATTCAAAATATCACGAAAAGAAAATATACATGACAGCCAGTCACCTAACGGCCTAGATATCTTTCTTTTCTTTAAATTCACACAAATAAACTCATCTCTCAATGATCCAAAGCCTGAATAGCCTGTCTCTCCACTGCCATGACCTTAACTCTGACACCTTCTAGGAGAAATCTGAAGACTTAAACACATACCCACCCATCTAAGAAAAGACATACGATGACTTAAATTATTATCTTAAAAAAAAAACAAGAAATGGAAATTGGCTTATTTGTAACCTGTTGACTGAAAAAGTTCATTTCTAACAGATGTTAATGTGATACCTAGACTAATAAACCACCTGTTGTCATCACTGCCTGGAGGTTCAATTCACAGTGACAGCCCTGGACATGTTTAACAAAGAAAAAACTTAAAACTTAAAACAGTTTTATTAGTCATAAAATAGGGTTAGTCATAAATGTGTTAAAATATCAGGATTAAATTATCATGTTTGACATGGTCATATTTGCATCTGAGACATTTTGGGAGAGGTACCTCAGCGGAATAAAGATAGACCCAAACGCTGTGTGTGTTAAATGTATGTACTTTTAAGCAGAAAATAAAATGTAAAATTGATTCTGAGGAGAAAGACATCTAAAAAATAGCTATATGGTACACAGACAGTGTTTAGGCATAAAAACATGACAGAAATTGCTTCTAAATCTTGGAAGAGATTTTCTTAACATTTAGTTGCCTGCTTGCTCATACATATATTAAAACACAAGCTAATTATTTCAATTTCTGTAAAAACTATCTGATATATGGTGGTGCTTGATAAAAACATGTTTGTCTGGGATTTAAATCAAGTCCTTTTAAATCCCATTTTAATTACCTTTGACCTCCCACGCTCCCTATTTATGGGTTGCATAAATAACACTCAACCAAACAAACTTATTCATTAAATCTTATCTATCATTCAATATCAGATAAGGCACTTAAATTATAATGCTGTCTGTAGCTTAATACTCTCCGCATGTAAACAAGGTCTGGGCAATATCTACTTTCTCATTATAGCTTGAAGAGATAGTGAAAAGAGATAAATCTTAAATTAGAATACAAGTGTATTTCGCAGCAGTATAACATGTACAACAGTGCTGCCATCTCGGGGCAAAATAAAACCAAGTGATGTCTTTCCTTGGAAGACAAAAAACATGTGACTCACACCCTGTGATCTGTAATATATTGATATTTGGACACGAAATGTCACCGTCTTAACAAATTCTACAGGATGTTTTCCAAATGCATTCTATTTTAAGAAAAGGTTGACTGAATTTTCATATCCTGAAATTCATGAATGCATGGACAAACTTACCAAGTAATGTTGACACAGTGTTTTATTTTACCCTATGATACAGATTACAGAATGAGTTAACCCGATTTCACTCTTGATGATGACGATATATTTACTCATAAATCTAAACTTTCTCTTCAGGACATAAAGTAGTAAGAATCACATTGAGACACAATGGCTAAATTAATGTCATGTTGTTAATTTACAATTTCAGGGTTTTTTTTTTAAACCTGTGAGAATACCTAGACTGAAATTCAGCTTTTTAAAACTTAATATTTCTAGTTATAAATGGACCTGCATTCATGTGACTAGTAAAATTTAACTTGACAATGAGGTGTGAAAGAGAGGCCATTTTCCATATTTCTAACCAAAAACAATTGCAGAGACAAGAGGAGGTTAATCACTGTATACTTACCACTGTTATTCCTCCACAACCCTAGTACCCCAATACTATACTGTTGGTTATCTTCTACAATACTCAATAAGGTACCAAATTGTCTCAATTCCGTTTTAAAATTTTTAAATGTTGAACATTTAATGTAAAGAATTCACATGCGTTTACTGTTTACAAACTGTGTTGACACTTTCACAAAAAGCAGATCAACAGACAATACTGTTGTTAGGAGCTAAAATCCATCCTTTCTCAAAGCAAATATGATAATATAAACATGATCATTTTAGATGGAAACTTGTGGTTAAATTTGGCACTGGGGTGAAAAGAGATTGAAAACTGATACTTTTGTGAAATGCAAATATAAGTCTACAAGAAAGGTTAAAACACCCTTGAAATAGAGCTATATCAACCTTTGCAATCCCCCTCTATTCCTATTGCCATGAGGATGAAAATACAAACCATGAGACAAATCTACACAAAATACTGTTCAGGAAACACTGATTATGTGATGTAAACAAAAATCAGTTTTTCAAAACTGTAGTCTTAGATACAATATAATCAAAATAAACAAACTTGGCTCTCAGTATATCAGCTTCACATATTGCACATATCATAAACATGGCACAACACACACTCAGGCATACACATACATCATACACACACATACACAGTGCATATTGTGCTAGAGATGGTTAGACATGATGAAACCCAGGTACAAATATTTATAATGGTTATAGTTGTGAGATTGTGTTGCCCCATAAGATTAACTGAGTAACAAAAAACATGTATTCTGGGGGTAAATTTGAAAGAAAAAGGGCACTTAATATTGCATCTTAGGTGCTTACATTTCATCTGAAACAAAAATGATTAGAATTAATTGAACAAATAGAGGGGTGATTTCACAAAGGCCCTTCATTTCAAGAAAATCAACTACACTATATTAATTATAAAATATGTAATAATATGGGTGGAATACCAGGACTTAAATGTATGCAGTGTCTGTCAAACTTACCAGTTTGGGGTGGAGATTTTGTCCCCAGAAACATGACTGTTAACAAGTGTGGATAGGTGGTCTCCAGAGCCAAACACAGAGCCTGGAAGGCTTGAGGACCCGCAGCTGGCAGGACATCTAACAACTTCTCTACCTTCTCTTCTTTACTTGGCAGCTGACTTATTTCCTGGATGTCCTCGTTCCTTAAGGCACCTGGGGACGTTTCGGTTCCTTTCAAGATGGGATACAATCTCTCTACGTCGACGGATTGCACAAATTTCGATCTGTGTTGCTGCAAAAGTTCTCGGTGCTTCTCCTCCATTCTATCCTACTCTCGCAGGCGGGGATCTGGTTGCAGTATGTGCACCCTAACTTTATCTGGAGTGTTTTTCAATGCGGACGCCTGACGCCATCATTTCTGATAATCCCCAAAGTAACTTAGTCACTTTCTCGATAAAAGTTTTAAATAGCAAAACATGTTATTCGTAACTAAGTTAACCGATAGATCAAGTCTTTAAGTGACCTGTGTCTGATCGACGGTCCTAAAAATGTCGACAGCTTCCTACTACTTACGGAATAAGGAGCTGGAGACAGTTTTTCTCACAGGACGTCGCCATTTTGATCAAGAGAACGTCAACATCTGAGCTGTCAATCATTGGAATCTAGGTCATAGCAAAAGAGGTAATGATGAAAAGAACACAGGAAAGGAATGGTAGCTAATAATTTGTAGGGATAGTTTTTCTGGCAAACATAAATTATAATCAGTTATTTCCTATTTATAACCGTGGATCAATGAGAAATTAATGAATTATCGGACTCAAGATAATGCTTTATCGTAGTCTTTTCTTGGGCAGGTGCTCGCTGCATCGTAAAGTAGTGACATCTACAATCTCACCTAACACAACCGTAACGGAACTGTCCACTTTTCAAGTCCTATTTGACTGCATATGAACCCTATTCCAGTATCTATCAACACTTCTTTACACACATTCTAGTCTCTTATACGAAGAAAGGTCAGGTAAGTTGCAGAAATCTATAGTTGTTTTATAAACAATGTGCTCTATAAAAACTCGAGCGGTACCGTTCTCCTGTCTCCCGCCATTTGCCTCTATTTGTTTGTTTTGAAAACTAATAAAAAAAACTTGTCTGCATATATTGCTTAATCGTCATTGTTCACATTTCTGTTAATTATATGTACCACTTTTTAAGCTCCAAGGGATGAATAAAGTTAAGAGTCATTTTCTTATAGTTGTTGTCCCCGCCCATCTGACTACTGCGCCCCTTCAATGCGCCGACTTGGACTCGTCCGTCAAGGTGTTGTGTCCAGTGGAGAGCAGCGGACGTAAACACTTCGAATCCTCGGATTCTGGGAATTTCAGAGATCCAAAGGTGAAGACAAGAAGACTGGAAGAATAGCCAAGTCCGCTTTAGCAGCCCAATGAGCTACGTTTGATTGCTTCACACATCATAGCAGAAATGATCGAAGGCGAAGGACACACCGGAGGAGGGGACGCAAACGTGCTGGTAGACCAGAAACAGGTGCCTCCACAGGTAAGAAGTTCGGTTGAAACTGAGTGCCAATGTTCAGGTGCAACCTGCTGCAGGATTGAATAACAACTCTCAGGCTTCTCCCGTCGCAATATGCAAGGTAGTCCGCGGGAAACTTAAGCAGGTTGGGGGGATTCAACATGGCGGATCCGGTTATTGATTTTCTTGTTTTAAGCTTGCCGCATTTTCATTCTCAGGAAGCATTTGATGATATGCAAGTCAATAAATTTATAATATTTATATTTCAGCAGAAAAGCGTAGGCTTTGCGATGCTGTATTCGTATTGATTACTGGTATATTATCATAATATTATGTCAGTTTTGGTACTCGATTCACTTTGTGTTCTGTGCATGCATGCAATTTTTTTGTTGACATATTGAATTAAAATCTTATCAGTCTTAGAACACTGAGACGGATTTGCATGTGTGATACATCAGCTACTAGACACACTAAATGGCACATATAGGCGCGTGCATGGAATCCAGTAATTTCCATAGATAAAGTGCAATCTCTAGGTCAGTTTGTACTGTATAATTAATTAATTGATAATGTTATATTATACACTGTTATCATTAATGTTGCTCAAATTTTCAACCTTTGAGACCCATATTTCCTGTCAGAATGTGAGAAATAGCTCCTATTGCATGTGTTTATTAAGACAATGTTGTTATTATTGTACAGTATATGTCAGTGAAACGAATTTGATGAATGCCTGTGCTTCTATGGATCAATATTTAGTCTCTATATCTATATTTTGGGAATGATAACTTACACTTTATTTGACATTTGAGGCCATGCACATAGAACTAACAGTCAGAAGAGGATTGGGACCCCTGTTACATCCTAATTACAGCAATTTAAGCCACTTAGAAGAAATTAGCTCACTCATATTCCATCTCAATATGCATGAAGGGTTTATTAGATGGAATGAAAATGTTATGTTACAGTGAATTATGGAACAGAAAGCCTGTCTTATTTAGAATTAGATGTAAGCTTGTGCAATTGTAAAAAGAGAATTGAAAGGGACTATAGCAGTGCCTTTACGACTTTCATGCATAATTTATGTAATCCATGTGCCAGCATGATTCATTCTGGTTCTAGGTGATTGATATTGATCTGTTCTCCTATAATCCCTTTCCTCTATGAAAGGAAAGATGCAATTAAGTTTCAGGTTTTGCGGAAAAGGACAGATGACAGACAGACAATGTAATTGTGCAATATAGAACTGCCTTATGAAGTACATTACACATAGCCTTTCCCAAGTATAATTAATCATATATTTCCTATCTCAGGTCAGAGAGGACTGTATAGTTATCAAAGCAAAGGGAACATATAGAAAATCATCCAAAGTATAAATGGTTTTTTTCTTAAGCCACTGCGCAGATTGCTTTTAAGTATTTAGGAAGCTTTTAGAAAATGCTTTAGAAGTGGAAGATGAAATAGTCGTAGGCTTTGGTGTGATGTTCTGCCCTGGATTTCATGCTCCTAGATGTGGAAAACCTGCCCTGATTGCACTCAAGATACCTCGTAGCAGGTGCTTGCTTTCAGCCAGGGAATAGGTTAATTACTTCAAGGGAGCCTCATCTTTTTTTCATTATTGTTTTGGTAAAGAAAAATCTTGCATGTTTGTACCCCTCTTAGATATTTTTTATGAGAGCATTTAGTTTTTGTACGGAATTAACTATAAACCATGCACTGACAGTTGGGCTGAAAGTGTTGTCATGTTTTTGTTTTTTGATATCCATTCTTAAATTTCTTAGCTTTGAATGCTTACGAGAAAGTGGTTGGTGTCTAGAGGATAGTATGCCAGCTACTTTATATTTGAAGAATTCTCTTTTGCATCCATTGTATGTGCTTTGAGATGTTTGTGACTTCCTGCCTCAGTAAGCAAGAGGGGGCTGTGTGTATGCCTTGAATTCTGATGAAATTCATAAACCTCGGTGACATGAATCACATCATAGGGGCCTGCATCTCAGCAGGTGGTGGATATGTCACGTTGGAGACACTTAAAGTGTCACCAACATGGTAAGTGCCATCCCTTCACCCCTTATGCCCCCTGTGATTGCTTTGTCGACTCTGTGCAAGAGAAGGGCTGTGTTGTGTAATGCTTAAGGCAGGGGTAAATGATCTAATATTACAGGTCTGTGGAGGCACTATGGTGTAACAGATAAATTTAACTAAAGACAGTCTGTGAAATAGGTAAATATTTGCATGGCCTTAAGGTCTCGGTAGATGTATGTTGGGTCTAGGCATGGCCCCACCTTTCGCCCCTGCAACTAAAAAATGGTGTGCCAGCCGGTTTGATAAATAAAAGTAATTTCATCGTGCGCCAAGCACCTTAGTTGCTTTAGGAGTCAGGTAGAGCATGCATGGAAATAGGTCACGCTGCACTTCTCGATGACTCACCTGTCTAGATAATGTACCCTAGCAATTGCTATAGTATTATACCCAAAACCGGTTCATAATGTATTTGGATTAATGGCGCTTTAGAAGTAGCATTGCCTGCAGAATTACTTTGTGAGGGGGCTTGTTAGTAAACACCTTTCTGTTGTATTTATATGTATGCCTATGAAAAAAGGTGCTAAAATGAGGCATTTTAATTCATTCTGATGCTATTTAATTGTAATTTGACTTAGCTATTTTGCATAGGTCAATGCATATTTATTACGTTATTGTATGTATTGGTTATTGCCCTATAGTCAAGGTTATAAAGAGCCAGTCGGTATGGCTATGTCTTAAAGTTTAAGGAGACATTACCAGTGAGTGTAATAGGATAGATGACAACATTGAGGGTTAAACAAACTGACCCATGCCTCTAAGCATGGCCATATAGCAATATGTACACTGCATGTAGATAAGATTTACAGAGTTTGAAGACTTCACAAGAAGCTTATACTTTGTGTAGAGTAGACATTTTACTCTTTTTTAAGAGAGGTAATTTCTCTTCTTATCCTTGGTAAGCTGCATCTGTTTCTATATTGAATGAAAATAAAGAAATCATACATAAATGATTGTTTTTTTAAATCTGTATTTTTTAATCAGGCCCTGGTTGTCATTCTAATTAATTACTTCTTACTATTTCATATTGTTTCCCAGTCAGACAGTCCACCTTATTCAACCTTCAGATGGAAATATGGTAAAAACTCTCCTAATTTAAACAAAATTGTTAAAACATTTTCCAGAGCTGTATTTCTTTTTGGCAATATCTAGGGAAAATAATCAGAGTTGTGACATGAGAAATGGGCCTATATCAGGAATATGCTTTTGTAAGATGAAATGGTAAATCAGGATATTAGAGTAATTGAGGTATTGGAATTTTCAGGACATTACCATAAAGTAAAGAAGCCTTGCTGTTTTGGTCTTTGCACATGCTGCGACTTAGATCCTCTCTCAATATTTATCAATCCTAAGCATTACAATGATGCAGAGACGTGCATTAAGGGTTTGCTTGTTCAACCAAGGTGGTTAAATGTCAGGTGATAAGTAATACCACGTAAAATGTTTTCAGACAGTTGTATTTTAATGGGAATTTTCTTATTAAAAGTTTTCTCTGGATACTGTGGCATTAGGTAGAAATGTGATTTTCTTTAAGACTGCTCAGATTTTTAAAGAGTGGGCTATATCTGAAAATATGAAGGATTATTGATTGATTTTTTTTGTGAAGGAAATGTCATTAATTAGATTTTTTTCCATGTAGATGTCCAAACACCTTGAAGTTCTTAGCTGTCTCAATAACTGCAAATTCATCCAGTTGTCTTTTTTCCTTTTTGTAGTTTGAAAAAACAAAAAAACAATAGATTATTGCTTAACATTGACTTGCATTGTTTCATGATGCAAAATTGCTGGAAATAGAACTTTTATTTCATAATAAGTATTAATATTTTTAGAAATTTCAAGATTAAACTTTTATTTTGCATATGAAGCAGGTACTTCATGTTATCCTTTGCCTTAATATGTATTTTTAATTTTATAGTTCTCAGCAGCTGTCTCCTGATAGAATATGATGAACTGATAATGGCAGCTCAGGAGATAGCTGTTTTTGGAAACTGTTCAGGCAGAAGATTTGCTGATTGTGTTGGCTAACTGCTCGTCTGGTAAAAAGGGAATATTAATAGGCTGTTCCCATTCCCTCCCTCTGCCCCAGGTCTCCCGCCAGCAGTATTGTTTACAGATATCTTTGAGCATCATAATAAAAAACAACAAGATGTAGATCTTATAACACGAGAGTAACAAAAAGAACAATTGGACAGGGTGTTTCATGTCAGGGTTATTCCTCGAAAACTAATTGCATTCCTAATTATTTTTAGCCACAGATAAGGAGTTCACATTGGCTGAATTCTGATATATTTGGTAATATATTTGTAGCACACTGCACAGGTGTATTATATGTTAAAAAAGCACAGGCTCAGCAGTTTGTTAGATAAGGTACATGGTCCGACTGGTTAGCTAGCTGTTAGCAGGGGATAGTGGATACAAGTCAAGTATGCCAGAGGCCATCGTCATGGATTCAGACATTTTAGATGTAAGTTTGTTTGTTAACAAGTATGTTTTGATGATTATTTTGGCCATTGTTGTTTTTTTATTGTTGATTATCTTTATGATTAGACTACCCAGCAGATCTGCTGCTTCAAGAAGAGCTGCAATTTCTGGAAAAAAGTCAGATTAGAAGAAATCTACATTATCAAGTGTTATGCTTCAAACCATAGGCTGTTAAGAAACAAACAAATGGTGAAATTATAATATTATGAAAACTCTTGGAGAATTGTACAGGGTTAGGTAAATTGTTCATGTCCTAAGTAGTGTTGCCTTAAGTGAGATGAGGTATTGGGCTTTTTTTTTTAGTCTGAAGGCATGATACAGGAGGAAGGTGTGAATATGTTAAAGAGAATTTTAAAAAAATGAAATGCATTCTTGCATGTAAAATGAGCCAAATTAGTAGTCATTTTTGAGTTGCATACATAGTTATGAAACATTTCTGGGTTATTTTTTTGCTACCTGCCATGTGACTAGTAATAATCTTCTTGTGTATGTGCATACCAGGTCTCATCAGAATGGTTTCAGCTAAAATACTTTAGGTTTCTATGTCAGGATGATCATTTAATCCCTCTGTAATCCCCAGATCAGCATTATGCACATGTGAGGTTGGGGAGGAGGATGACAGGAAGATTATAAAGACAAGATTGGATTGCAAGAAAGTGCCTACCTCCTAAAGTTCTAATACTTCTGAGTGTGACTGAAACATTTTTTAAGAATGCTGTTTAGAACGTGACCCTCCAACTCTCCCTGACCATCCCAGTGTGCCATATCTGTAACATGTTGTGAAAACTACCAATGTAAAAGATAGCAGGCATTCCTGGCTGATACTGTGGGCACATCAAAGCACACATTTATACCTGGGCATTTTGAATGATATAACAACTGCAGTATGCAGAAGTACACATACTATAGAGCTATTGGAATGATAGAGCAGTGATGGTACTGTTTGCATAGATACCAAATGTCATCATGCGAAATTATTTATGTACAGTTTTGAAGTAGGCTACACATGAAACCAGATATATGATCTGGTAAAGTTTTATCTGGTTCATGTTGCCCTTAACCAAACAGTTTCCTGTCAGGCGTATTGTTATTGTTACCTGGTCGGGGTCTGGGTGAAATGCCTGGTTGTGGTATCCAGTATTTTAACCACATCAACTAGAGGTTAAATAGTCAGAAAAACTGTTTGCTGTACACACATTTTGGCTGCTGTTCCTGATGTGATCTCTCACAATTTTTTTTCAGTAATTCTTTCTCTTTCTCTCTTTCGGCATACACACATCTGCACACACAGTCACACAAATACACACACACACACACGCACGCACGCATGCATGCACGCACACACACACACACACACACACACACTCTCTTTCACACACGCAGTGTTCAATTAGAATGTAAATCAGAAGCATCGTGACTTATTACAACAAAAATTACATAGAGATTTCAATTAATAATCAAATTCACATCTATAATTAGTTTTAGATACTTGGCCCTTAGTTTTAAAAAGGCCAAGTTATCAGCATGTGGACATTTCGAAGTTGTCTAGTGTGATGTGGGAAGTATCCTGTGATAACTAGAGATAGTATAGTGGTGTTAATTGCTGTATGTACTTCACTGTATCTAAGAGGCTTTGCATACAATAGACTGACAAGGGAAAGATTTCATGTAATGTTGGGTAACAGATATTTGTTTCAGCTCCATGTAACATTTTGACCTTGGCATTTTTGCCTGATAGACTTTCTACCAGCTTGACAATGATGCCTGGTTTATGTTATTTTGTTATTTTAGCCTTAATAGCCTTAATATTAAACATGGTAAAGTCAAATGTGAACATTGTACTAAAAGCATGTGGAAAGACAGAAAAAATGATTTTTTCTACATATTTGCCCTTTACTTGTTTGCATGTAGGAGCTGTGTAGTCTCCCAAATGGATGATTTTGTGTATTTACAGTTAGGGAGATTGTATCAAACCAAAGGATGTGGCAGCAATTCTGTTTTCATTATCAAAGAGGAAAGCTCATGATTCATTGAGTTTAGTTGGATTGTGAAACCTGATAAAACAGACACAGAATCCACTTTTGCCTGCAGCTGGGCTCTAAACGTATTGATTTTTACCAGTTAATGTCCCACTGAGAAAACCATCCATCACTCCATATGTTATTTAGGGGTTTGTGTTCTAGTTTATAGATGGCAGCACCAGTATGAAAAATTAATGAAAGATGAAAAGGAGAGATTATGGATGTGGTACAAGATAAATTAGTGATGTTAGTTAGCAACTAATTATATCTAAAAAAATAAGAGAAACAAAAGTTTTGGTCTCAAAAATGAGATGGTATGCTTGTAAGACAACTACAAACCTTATACTCCACTCTCCTCTGATACTTTTTTTTTCTTTTCAGCCAAACAGGGTATTCTTTTCCCCGAGCCAACATGTTCTTTTCTCAAAATCAAACTCCTCTCTGCAGAATTGCTTGCCATCAATGATTATAGTTTCTACCTGTGAAGTTAACCTGTTTTCATTCCCTAGACATAAGACTACTTAGGAGAAGGAAAACAGTTCAGTCTCTGAGGACTAAAAACAGAGACAGTTGTGTGTAAACCCCTTTGGTGATTGCCAGAATCGCATGTTTCATGAGTGGAATTGTTAGGTCCTTTTCAGTTTTATAATTAAATTTGATATAGATATCATTTACACTTAACTGACTTATTTTGACAGAAGAATGTGATGGTTGCACCATAATGTCAAGCAGCAAATTGTTTGGTATAATTTCTTGTAATTTTAAGTCTTACACTAATTTATGAATTTTGTTGTACTTGTAAATGGGAAATTTGAATGGTTAGATTTTTTAAAAACTTTTTTTTTGAAAATATTGATGATTGTTATTCTACCTGAAAAAAGCATATATTTATTTATTTATTTATTTATTTATTGAGTCTTTATTTGAAAATAAAATAATTTCAATAAAAATGATGTTTTTATCAGTTTTTGATTAAGTCAGACTTAGAAACTATCCCTCTAGTAATCATGGTAATTCTGCTTTTGTCAGATGTCAATTGAAGTGTAATAGAAACCTTGTCTGCATGCAATACGGCAATCAATGCTGTTGTCTGGCCAAGTTCCCTCGAATCACAAGAACAATAGAAGCAGAATTCTATGCATAATTTTTTCAAACTTCGATTTGACTTTTGACATTTTACCACTCTTGAAATCTATTCACAGCTGAAATGTGTGGTAATCAAGTATCAGCCTTACAGCATATGCCAATAACAATTTGAGCAAGAATAGACCACACTTATTATTTTTTTTCTCTCTCTCAGAGTTTTTGCTCAGACAGGATATTGCTGTGTATTGGTCTTGATGATTAACATATCGCAGAAGAATAGAAGGCGTCCTGCTGAATCCACCACTCTGCAACAAACCTATTAAATATCTAATGTAAAATATTGATCAGCAGTCAGGACTGTGAAAATCACGCCCGACCAAAGACAGGCTTGAAACAGGAACGAGATAGAAAGAGAGAGAGAGAACTACGCAGTTGAACACTCACTGCAAACAAGCGAGCACGCCGTTCCAAAATGGCAGGCTGATGGTATCAGGGGTTTGTTTTCCTGCCTGATCAATAATAATACAGTACAGCACCATGACACAGGTAAGCAGACAGAAATGGAGATCAGGAAAAAGGAAATTTGCCATTGTGAATAGGTAACTTAACTGAGACCTTACCAAAACAATACAGGTATGATATAGATTGGTTTAATAGGTAGGCATCGATAAAAATGAAGATATTCAAGGTAGTTTTAGACAGGTTTCCAACTAAGAGTTATCGAATACAATATTTGGCTTGATAGGGCAGTATTTAAAAAAGGGATGGGTAAGATGAAGGATATTTAGAAAAAAAGAATTGAAAATAGCTGATAAACAACGCCTGCTCCTCAGAAATATACAGAATTGTACAAAGTTAAGGGAAAAATGCCAAAATCCACCGTTGCCCAAGACGAGTGGGCTCACAGATGGCGCTATAGGTTGGATGCACAGCAAACCACCATCCTTGCCTCGGAGTTCTTAACCTTGGTGTACCTGTTCAGCAAAGATGAAGATGAGGCTGGACCAACGGACCCCGGCCAATCTTTGGACAATTCTCAAGGTCACTGTTCAGGTCACTCTGGCCAAGCTGCAGGACAAGGCAATATGGTATACCAGTTGTGATTAGAAATAACACAATGCTTACTCATTTAACTCTCCAGTTGATGATGCTATTAGTTTATTTTTATAGTAATAGTGAAGTTATAAAAAGATTGGGAACAGAATCAGGTTGCAAATATAATGCTTGGGTGTTGCACATGATTTCATAAGTAATAAGTAATGCACCAATTTCTGAAGACTTGTTGAAAAAATAAGCAATAATACACCATTCCTTCTGGCTCTGTAAAGTAATCCATGATTCCTCAAGCCCATATTGTACACAGGTTGCTGTAATACCAGCAGATTAGCAAGGATGTCATGTCACACTTGACAACATTGCATGATTGCTGTGTAGTTCACATTCTAGTCATGTCTCGGCCAAAGTGAAGGTGGAGGCAGTGGGAGTATTAACTTGTCGAACAACTTTATTCAACGAGATAATTCTGAAGAAACTGGGTTATTTCCTTAAACATGAAGGCGTGTACTTGGGAGAGTATACGATAGCATTGTATGTGTAGGTTAAAGTATCCAAGTAGATAAGAAGAGCAAATAAGTACGGATGACAGACATCAGACAAGGCAAACAGATTGTGGGCGATGTCTTCATGTTAACTTTTCTGAGAAATTTTAGTATAAATTTGTTTTTTATATTTTTTTATTTGTTCAGAATGCTTTTTTAAAGAGATTGTAGAAAGAATGGCATGCTAAAAGAAGATATAAGATCTTAGAATAGTTTACCAAAAAGGTGAACATCTTTCAACATGTGAGGGACATGCCATTTATTATGTTGACTTCTATTACTTATATTTTCTTTTTATAAAATTCCTTTTTGCTGCTTAAAAAAATACCCCCCCCCCAAAAAAAAAAAAAAAAAAAAAAAGAAAATTATGAAAAGAGTTACTAATAAATATCATGATTTATGAGTGGCAAATGCTAATTTTTCATCTTGAAAAAAAGTTGCAAAAAATGCGAAGTCCTTCATATGACATGAATGGTGCCACTTGCATTCTAAGCACCCTTTTGATCTACACATATGAGTAATGCTATGTAGTGTTCTTGGAGCCAGTGATTGGGTTTAGTCATGTAGCTCCCAGCAGTAGCAGCAAACAAGTAGACTTGCAATTTCACAATTTCATGGGTAGGTGGAGCCACTGTTTGCCATGTTGTCTTATCTAGGCTGTTAGTCCTCTCTTTTATCGCAGATACCAATGAAGTAGTTCTTCTCTTAATCAGAAATCCACTTTTTTGTAGCATTTACAATTTTAGTGGCTGGTGGCCTAAAAAAAAAGTGAAATGTAAAGTAAATGTAAATCTTTCTGGGAATGTTAACAACTGCCTTTGTTTCTGCATTTGTACAAATATAGTTTGATAAACATTAAATGTTGGTATTTTTGTATAAAATTATTTTGATGAGAGATTGCTTTTTAGTTTCATACCCCATGACAACACTAACATGCATTTAAGGCAAATATATAAGAGAAGAGACCAGCTAGGTTAGAATAAAATCGATACATGGAAATAAAGATGGAGGCTACAGATTTGCATCGACATTAACATTTACATTAACATCTAAGTGATATCATCCAAGGATAAATTAACTTGCAGTTTGATAAAAAAAATCTTAATAACAAAAGAATAGTGCCTCCTAATGGGAAAAACATCATGAAAGATGCTACTTATCTTGGCATCTTCTGCACATGCAATTTATATTTGTCAAAGCAAAGCAATCTGATGTTGTTCTAATGGAAAAAAAGGGCTTGTTAAGGTTTATCACTATTCAGGATATTTGGTTATCTCTTAAATGAACTGCTGTCAGAATGGATATTAAATAACGCCAGGACATGGTATCCCTTGATGGTCATTGTGTTTGCAAGGCTTTATAATTAAATTAAGGGTTGCTGGAATTGCATAATTAATTCCTATGATGTCAAGAATATCAAATACATGAGGTTTGTTCTGACAGCATGTACTTAATATTCTTATACAAAAAGAAACAAATTTTGTCTAAAGGAAAGGCAATTAACTGGTGTGAAATGTTATGTAAATAGGTGAGATCTATTGTGTATAGGTGATAGTTCAGGTATTGGGTTAACAGATGGCCTTTGGTCCTTATTTTTCGTTCAAATAATATGCCATTGATTGATAGCCTGGCATGACTTGCTCTAAGATGCTAATTGTGAAGCATTTATCTATACATGGGCCCTTTCTCCTCCAGGCTACTGAGTAGACTTGGATGTATAAACATTATAAATGTGTGCTGAGAATCAATAGAGCTGAGACATGATGTGAAAGGTGTGTCAGAAGATTTTTGCTGAGAGAAAATGACAACTTTGTTTATACCAGCGACAGTGCATCATGTTTTAGAAAAACGGCAGCAGCAGCAGCAGAAGACGTGGTCGCCAGCTTCGCGTCTTGGGCCTACTAGGGGGGCATTGGATCAGCAGTGGCCCCACCATCAGCCCACCCCTGCCAGTCACAAACAGGTCGGGCAGAGATTGACACGATTAAGTTTCGGTTATTTTATCATTGTTTTACATGTATTTTGTGGATTGGAGTAAATCAAGAATGTTTCGAATTTTTTTCTTGTGATGCATTCAATTTGATGAAGGTTGACCTTCATTTTTCTTTGCACAGTTTCTTTTTGATGATCTAGGTGTGTAGGGAAGCCAGAATGTCGCACATTGCAGTTTCACTTTCTGTTTACAATTTACAGGTATATTTTCTCAAGCATGCACATTTCACTGGTAGCAGTGGTAGGATATTTGATTAAACAGATGATACACCCTACTTATCCTCCATGCACTTTTTGATTCATCTTTAAACCACCTGAGGGAAAGGTTTTTGTATGGCATCACCTGGACCATCTTCTTCATTAGAGATCAATAATACAACATCACAAATAGACTTATCTATTATTCCCTGAGTCCATTCATTACAGGTAAACGATGTTCATCCATTAATGAATTTACACAGTGAAAATGGAGGAAGTGGAAAGGAGAACATAAAAGCAGCAGGCTGATGTACTTGGCTTTCGAGTGTTTTTACCAATTATTCAGCTACCAAATGGAAAAGGGCAATATAGGGGCACTAGTTTAATGATGTGTTCAACGAATCTGACTAGTTTGTATTGATCAGCAGGTTGAAAAGATGGAGAATAGATTATAGAAATGAAGTAAAACTGGAGATTGCCTTATTTTTGGGTATCTGTTTTGAAGCTTTTTTTTTTTTGTTAATCTATCAATATTTTGTTGCTAGCTCTCTAAGTCTTTAAATGGTGAGTATTTTTATGCCAAATGTATCACCAAGAGATTCTTAGTTTCCTAGTTTGATATGAACACTTCAATTTTGAAGGCATATTAAGAGTAAATTTCCAACTTTGACAGATCATTTTATTGGTGCACATAAATTTATCAGCAGGTGGATAAGTTCATCAGTATTGTTATGACGTGGAACAATACGTGGAAGGTCTGGACTGTAGTGGAACTCACCTTGAGGAAGGAGACATCCAGTGCTGTTACTGAAAAGAATTGTACATAAATCATTTTCACTTATCCTATGAGTGGTGACAATGCCACTTGGTTTGGACAGAGGAAAAAAAAAACTTTGAATAACTGGTAAAAAGGCAGGTGTCAGGCCTGTGAAAAGGGGAAAGGGGAGGGAAGGGGGGGGTGTTGCTCTTTTGGCTGGAAAAGGTCTGCTCTGAATCAAAAATCGATCTGGGTTCTATTTTATTTCTCAAATTGGGCCAGCTAAGAGAGTGAAAGGGCCCAAATTTTCTATTTAAAATTCCTTTGAAATCACTGGCTTTAGACCTGGGTTGCAGTAGATGGTTTATGTGTTGATTTCCCTAGCGGATATATGCAGCCAATGCCATAGCTGACGGCATCAGTGTAGTCTTGAGTTAGCATGGATAAACCCAGCCATAAGCAGTGACCTGTGCGCAAATAATGCCAAGGGAATACGTTTTGAAAAGAGCTTGATGAGATAAAATGGTGCAAGAGAAGTGATAATGATACGGCCTTTATCAAGAACAGAAAAAGTAGCAGCTATTCAAAGCAGGAAAACTGCATATCGGACTGATTACCCACCTCGTAATCATAAATCATTCATTTGCACCTAAAGAAAAATTGCAACCTTGCTCATGCAACCTCATATATTTCTGTATATAAATGATTTATAAACTGATAAAATTTGTGATATTTAAAGGGAATTGATTGACAAAAAATACTAGCAATGTAAGGTTTTCACCCAAGTGTTTTCACCCATCTGATCAATCCTATTATATGTAATGATAGGCTAAAGGCTAGTTTTGTTGGGATTTGCTAGAGGAGCATTTTATCGATCTTGGATGTTAATTTTTCAAGAAAACAGATTACGCATGCTAGATCTTGAGTCTGTCAGCTGGTATTCAGCTGTTGTACAGTATATACCTCAACATTTCCCTGCTGCACAGTTGCCGCCGCGTCACTTCGTATTGATCACAGCTTAAAATAAGCAGTTTCTTTACAGGCAGATCAACTGAGGCAGAAAAAGCTGCATGGATATTCAATAGAGCAAGCCCAGACATTTGAGATGAAGAAAATTTAGTTATAACATTGACTTTGTTAGCCAGTGAACCGTGAGAAATTACAAAGTTGCAAATCTAACATTTTACTGCTTATTTGTTTGTTTGGTGCATTTGCATATAAAGACACAAATATAAGAAAAACAGAAAAAAAAATGTTTCTTTTAATATAATGGAGCTAGAATTATTTATGAGAAATGAATCAGAATTAAAATAGAGATAAAAAAAAAATACAGAAGTTAAGTAGAGACTTAAAAAAAATTGAAACGTCAGTTTTTGTTTGAATGTTTGTTTTCTCTGCATAGATATGGCCAATACCTCTTTGCTCCAACCTTTCCACAGATCATGCAGACACCTGCTACTCCAGTCAGATGCAATGATTATAAAAAAAAGGTTGAAAATGACTGTATATTGATAGTATTTCAGTCATTATAGCACCGATTCGG